TTGTAGGGCTTAGCTCACCGCTTCATTGCTGTTTTTCCCTCACTTCCCCTTATCGGTGTCAAGCGTGGTCACAAATCACAGTGTGTATTCCCACTGAGTATTAGTCTTGGAAGGGGGTTTGCACTGAGAGGGGACCTGACCACTTGCCTTGATGTTTCCTGGGCAAGCATGTTGCTTGTTCTTGTAGTAACAGTCAGTCTGCCTGTGTTGTTTTGTATTTTTCCTGTAGGTCTTTCTTTCAAGAAGCATCTTCTGTTCTTCTAGCCACTCCAGGTTGTGACCTTTATTTTTTAAATATAGCGGGTGATTTTCTGTCTTGGTCTTATTAGAGCTCTGAGGAGCCTTCTACACTGATACCTGCTCTACTGTCTTCAGATACAGAGAAGCCACTTGCCTTTGGTTTCCACGCCAGCTGACTGTCCTTGGTTCCCTCGTGACGCTCGGTGCTGCTGCTTCATCTCCTGTGCACCCTTTCTCTACCTGCCTGTTAAATGTAGAGGTTCTTCAACGCTTAGTCTAGGCCCTTTCCTCGGAATAGCCTTCTAAGGAATCGCACTGTGCCCCACTGCTTCAAGTCCATTTGTGAGTCTTTGTATGGTGCTATAGGATAAGCACTGGACTGCTAACCACAAGGTCGGTGCTTCAAACCCACCAGCAGCTCCTTGGAAACTCTATACAGGGTCGGTCGCTAAGAGTCAGAATCGACTCATTAGCACTTATCACCACCACCACCAACATGCCTAGCTTCTTCTCCGAGCTTGTGATCCTGTAGCACTAAGTGCCTGCTATTTGATTTTGTTCATGCTTTCATTCAGCCAGCAGGTATATGGATGCATATAAGGGCCCACTATGTGTTTGCCACTACAGAGCAGCCAGAGCAGTCTTTTCAAAACACGAATTTGGTCACATCAGCTCCCATACACCCTTGTGTAGTCCCATACCCCTTTTACTTGTATCTCTTCAGTGGTTTTCCATGATCCACAAGACCTGGTAGGTCTGGTCCTGCTCACCGTCCTCCAGCCACTGAGATAGTCTTTGAACTTTCCTCCTGCCATTGGGCCTTTATAGATGCTGTTCCTGCTCCCCACCTTCTGACATCTGTCGTTCACTGCTGTTGCTGTTAGGTGTCATCGAGTCTGTTCTGACTCATAATGAATGACTCCAACAGAATGCAGCACCGCCCAATCCTGTGCTGTCCTCACAAGTCTTTTATGTTCGAGCCCATTGTTGTAGCAGCTCTGTCAATCTATCTCGTCTTGGGTAGAAAGCATTACTTCATTTTCTTTGAGAGAAATAACCTTTTAGAAACTTTTTATGACTCATCGTTTTCAACCACATGTATAAGCAGAGAGAAGAGTACAGTGAGCTCCTACCACTCAGCTTCTATGCCCAGCACCATGCCTCCTGCTCCCCAGTCGGACAGTAAGGGGAGGGACAAAGACCAGGGAGCAGCTAGCTTCATCTGCTGGTTGGAAGGGGAGAGGGGAGGTTTCCCTTGTCTGGACTTCACTCAACAGGTAGCAGATTCACACAGGCTGTCTTGGGCCAAGCACCAGGCCATTGGACCCAAAGTAGTTTGGTTAAAAACAGTTGGCTAAGGTGATTTGGGGCTGAAAATTAGATCTTCATTGATGTTTCCTTATGAGTTCTTTCCCATTGAATATATGTTTCCAGTTGAGGGGTTAGAGATTACTTAAATAACGTGTACAGCGGACAGTCAATTTTCATAACAAATTTGCTAGGAAGGAATCTTTCTTCAAGTATTGATGATTTTAAGGAATCAGGGAATAGATTTACATTCCTTTCTGTATCTTTTATCTGGGTTTTTTATTCTTTAGGTTCTTTTTCTATTTTTATGGCACATTTAATTCTAGTTAATTTTTAGCCAGTTATGTCTGTTCTCCAATTAATAGTAGAGTGAAAAGTAACCCAGATTTGCAACTTTTCACACAGCAAATGGTATAAGGCAACTGTGAGGTCACCCTCTTCGTGTGGTTCCTGAATTACAAAATAGATGGGACATTAGGAACCGGGCGGGGTCATTTTCATCTGTCCTGCTGAGGAACTTAATTTCAAGAAGCCACAATTTGTTTTCTGAGCAATTTGAGTGTTACTTCTTGGCAGAGAAGAATGGCAGGTGGGAGGATGAGTGAGAAGATGGGGTGCTGCCCAGCTCAGGAATGATGAGCTGTGTGTGGCTCCCCGTCTTACTCTGGGAACAGCAGGAACTTGCCCTGTGGCCTTGCGTGGTCCCTCCCTGCCCGTGCCCGGTTGCTCTCATCTATAGAAGGCGAGTTCCTGGGATTGTGTTTTACTGAGATATCAAGTTTCTGTGTCTGGTTTTTAAAAGTCTCTCTCTATCTTTGTCTCTTTTAATCAGATGGCAGACATTCTGTTCTGAATTTCAAGGTAAGATTATTTTTTAAAAACAATTTTCTCAAGAAATACAATACTCACCCTAATTTGAAAAACAATGTCTCTGGTTTGTGGCAAAACCATGAGGGGCTCAGAAATTTGTAGGAAAGTTCCATTATCTTTTCATTCCGTTTTTCTACAAACTCTCTGAAGATCCTTGCATCTTCCTTTCAGAGTGTTTCCCACTGAGTGTGTTTCAAATTGGGAAAGTAGCAGTCACTTACATAACGTGTTTAGTGGATAGACAATTTTAACAACTGATTTGCTAGCAATAAATCATTCTAATGTACGTTTTTAATTGTTCCATGTCCTGTAGTTGTTCAATAGTGCCACTGAGTTGGTTCAGATTCATAGCACCCCTGTCTGTATAGGGTTTCTGAGGAGCAGCTGGTGGGTTTGAACTACCGACCTTGCAGTTTGGCAGTTTAGTGCTGATCCTGTTGTACCACACCAGGACAACATGCCAGGGAGTTTCGAAGTGAAATCTTCCAGCTGGTGCAAAGGTTGCCTTGCAGCGTCACCTAGTCATCGGAGGAACGGTACTTGTAAAACTGTATGAGAAAGGTTCTCCTGAAGCTGCCAATTCTTCTCAAACTCATCAGATTAAGGCTGCTCCAGCCAGCTCTGTGTTGGGAGGGATTTCCTGTCAACTCCGACTTTTAAAGAGATTCAGCAGAAGCTTGAAGAGGAAGTGGGGAACAGCTCATGAAGAAAAAGTGGTGGCAATTGTGCCTTCAAGGTAAAGGATGGCCCTGGGGGTAAGGAGGCAGCCTGGCTGGTGGATATGAAGCACAACAAAGGACCAGTATATCCTCCCTCACATAAGGCCAGCTGCACAGTCCCTGTGGCTGACGTGGACTAACTGCTTTTAATGACTGGAAAAACTGAACCCTCAGTCGACCTGCTTTCAAGACACAGTAAAAATCACTGGGCAACACAGAGCCAGTGTTTTATACCTGACTTTTGTGAGTAGTGACAAGGGTCTTCAAAACTCACGAGTGGCCATCTAAGATGCAACAATTGGTGTCTCCCTGTGCAGAAGAGAGAAGAGTGATGAAAACGGAAGATGTTTGGAAGCAATCCAGCGGACTAATGGACCACATCGATCTCCATGGCGCTGTGAGCAGAAGAACTTGATGGTGCCTGGCTACCGCCTCCAGCTTCTCTGGAAGGGATCACAGTAAGAAGGTCCTGGACAGAGTGGGAGAAATGTGAAACAAAACTCAAAGTCACAAAAAGTCTAGGCTTACTGATCAGAAAGCCTGAAATTGAGGCCCTTGGTCACTCCTCAGGTCTAGAACTGAACTCACACGTGGCTGTATTTCCAGCCCAGCAATAGATAGGTTACAGCAGTAACAATACCTCTAGTGAGGTGTGCACACATCATGGAATGGTCAACCTCTCGAGATCAAAAGGACAGCACTTACCTAAAGACAAGCTTCAGAAGGGGTGAAAGGAGGATAAAGGGAGGAAGGGGGATAAGTGATGTTGCATGGAGGGAATTGCAATCATTGAGAGGAGGCAAAGTGTAGGATTTGTTGAATGTGAAGCTGATGATCTGCTCTGTAAACCTTCACTCAGTTCACAATAAAAAGTTTTAAAAAGCAAATCATTCATATAGCTATGAAGTTACAAAATCTTCGGCTTCAGCCTGGCAAAGCTAAGCTGTGAAGAAACAACTTTGGCTACTTTTGAACATAAAGCTGAGATACATAGAAATTCGTCCATGGTCTCATATTTCATTGTCAGAGTTAAGACTGATTTCCACAGGGTTGGTTCCTTTTGAAGTGAGTGTGGCCAATACTGTTTTTCCTAAGCTCCAGGTGAATGGAGCCTGGTGGTGAATCATATACTGCTTTGCTGAATTGTATACCACAACCACAAGGTTGGCAGTTCAAACCCACCAGCCTCTCCTCGGGAGAAAGAGGAGGTTGGCTGCCTGTTCTCGTAAAGATTGAGCGTCTCAGAAGCCCCATGGGGCAGTTCTACTGTGTCCTGTGGGGTCAGACTGGACTCAATGGCTGTAGGTTTGGTTTGGTGCATTACAAAACTAATATAGTCATTATAGCTTGAGGTAACGCTGAAATTTCAAAATAAAATTGAGGAATAGTACAATCCTAAAATCATGTAAACAAATGTTCTCATTTTGTTCACAGAGTTTATTTAGGAGTTATTCTACTGAAGATGTCAATTTGAGAGTTTTTCTTGGGAGAACTAGGGAAGAAACAGAATTTCAGTGGTGGTGATTATGTGCCATGGAGTCGGTTCGACTCATAGCAACCCTGCTCATGGTTTCTAAGGCTGTAAATCTTTACGGGAGCAGAAAGCCTCATCTTTCTCCCACGGAACAACCGGTAAATTCAAACCTTAGACCTTGCAGTTAGCAGTTCAGCTCGTAATCCACTACGTTACTGGAGCGCCTTAGACTATCAGTAGTTGGCTGGTCATTAGTAGTTTATATTTCATGATCCTGATCTATTTTCCATTAATAGTTTTTAAAGTTTTTGTACTGGGATTAAAAAAAAACAAACAAAACCTTTTCACTTTAGCATTTTTTGTACTCAAAACAGTGTTTTCTATCCAAATCACAATAAAAGAAATACAGTTAGGGCTTGGGAATAGGGAAGAATCTATAGCTAAACATAGGCCTATTTAAAAAATATTTTAGAAATGGATTTCCCTCTGAAAAATCAGTGTATTCAGTCATAAACAAGTCTTGTGAAAAGTAGCAAAGTTTGCTTTGAGATGCACAGTTTTCCTATTGTTGTTGTTAAGTGCTGTCCTGCTATAGGGATTCCTGTAGCGACCCTGTATAGGGTTTCCAAGGAGCGGCTGGTGAGCTTGAACCACCGACATTGCGTTTTAAACCAACCTTGCAGCCCAGCGCATTAACCCACAGCATCACACCAGGACTCCAGTTTTCTAATTATAGTTAACAAAACTTTGAAGCCTGTCCTTTCCACTAAGTTTTGACTTGAGAAAGGAGATCTTAAGCTCAGAGGTGTGTCTGAGGTATGGCCCGTTTCCTGAGCCACCGCCACCAGCACTGTCATCAAGTCCGTGCTGACTCCCAGTGGCCCTGGGCAGACAGCCTTGTCTTTTCCCCACAGAGCAGCTGGTGGGTGTGAGCTACCAGTTACCATTGTACCTTCAGGGTTCCCTAGTCGGTGCCGCTGTAGACTGAGGGGCGCTGTTTAGTGCTTACACTTAGCCTACGTGGCTTTCCGTAGTTAGCCTCTGCGTAGATTCTCGGTGCCGCATTTTGAAAAACAGGTTTCACTGCAGTTTCTAGGGTATTTTTGCACATCCCAACGCGAAGCTTCAGGTTGGAGTTGACCATGTGCCTCCCTGCTCAGCTCTCACATGCTTGTGGATGTGATTCACTGGCCTCCCACTCATAGGATTTATTTTAACCTCACAGACAAAAGGCAGGCAGAGGGCTCAGTAGGGACGAAAGAGTCTTCAGGTGTGTAAGAAACACAGGGTAAACTAAGAACTACAAGAGCCAGTTGTTGTTGTTGTTGTTGTTAAGTGCCGTTGAGTCGGTTCTGACCCATAGTGACCCTGTATAGGGTTTCCAAAGAGCTTGAACCGCCGACTTTGTGGTTCAAACTGACTTTGCAGTCCAGCGCATTAACTCAGCACCACGCCGGGACTCCACAAGAGCCAATATGAAGGGGGAAAAAACCCCTTTGTGCTGATAAACGTACTGTACGATGACCTCGCTGCTTGTGCCAGCCTGCTTTGAGGAGATGCTGAGAGTCTGTAACGTGTCACTATCTTGTTTTTCTTTTGTAGGATGAAAAACCACCGCTGTGTGAAAAGCCTCCACCATCCCCAGGTAGTTGTCTTTTGAATTTTCTTATGATTGAAAAGCTTAATGTTTTGGAGAACACCCTGAGTCATCTCATCTGAAAATAAAGATCACCACCTTCCTACCCACCCCCTGAAAGGCTGTTGCCTGTGCCCTCTGTTACAGGAATTAGGAACAGGTAGCACTTTCTTGAACGTCCTCAAAAGCCAGGGTCCAAACACAGGGTGGTAGATGTTAATAGGTGAGTGAAAGAATGCAAGGGGGCTTCAGAAATGCTTGGAAAAATTCCATTGTCCTTCCTCATATGTTGATAGAATCCTGGTGTGGTGCTTTAGGATCAGCATTAGACTCCTAACCACAAGGTCGGCGGTTCAAACCCATCAGCTGGTCCTTGGAAACCCTATACAGGGTCACTTTAAGTCAGAACTGATGTGTTGGCCCTAACAACAAATACTAACATGTTAATATGATCAGGTGTTGGGTGGGTGATGGATGCACTTGTGGGATGTGCTCAGATGGTGGGTGGGTGGGTGGTGGCTGGACCTATGGGATTTGTTCAGATGTTGGATCGATAGGTGGACGTGTGGAATATGTTTTGACACTGGATAGATGGATGGAACTGTAGGATGGGCTCACACGCGGGGTGGGTGTGGGTGGACTGTGGGTGCACTCACACGCAGGGTGGCTGGATGAAAGCACACGTGAGATCGCAGATGCTGGAACTGGGGGTGAGCGGACCTGCAGAATAGTTTGGGTTGAGTGGATGGTTGACCCTGTGTACTGTCCTTGGACACTTAGGGTGTGTGGGGTCAGATGCAGGCAGGGGTGGGTATGTGCTCTGTGCAGGTGCCTGGTGGGTGGCTTTGAGTACTGGATGAGGGCAGAGAGAGTCCTAGAGCTGTTTTCTAGGGTATGGCCCAGGTGTAGTTTGGGAGTCTCAGTAACTTCAAGTGGGTTTTGAGTTTGAGGCTGTTTTGTGTCACATCACTAGTGTGAAAATCCCCCTGATGTCAGAGACTGTGTGTCTGTCCTTGTGTTGGATTGACCTTATTTTCGCCACCACCACTCCTTCACTTCCTTGGGTTCTTTGTGCTGGAAGTTTTCTGGGACTCCGTCTTCTAGCTCATAGGTTAATTCTTCACTGTGTGTTTTCTACTGTTCAGGTTATCCTTTCAATTTTCTTTATTCATGAAATGTTACATCCTTGGTTTCTGTGAAATACTGACTAGCTCCTCTGAGGGTCTTGGCTGTTCTCACTCTCGAGTCTTATACTCTGTGCTGTGGTGACACTCTCCTTTATCTGACTTTGGTTTTTCCCTTGGGTCATGTGTTTGCTGGTCCTTGGTGTTGTCACCTTGGTCCTGGAGACCCATTGGCCTCCTTGCAAGCTGTGTGAGTTTATCGCAGGCTGCTTGTCATGGGGACCATCGGCTGCCAGGCCTATAGCCTGACTCCCCTGATTGATGGTCAGGATGTCAGGTCAGCAGCAGATCGGGGAGCCTCCAGTCCCCTCATTAGTCCGTTCCTGATCCCAAGACATGGAGCCCCCAGCCCACCAGCATGTGCCTTCTCCCTCCATCCGGAGGCTTGTCCTGGCCCCCCCTCAGCTAGCCTCTGTATCTCTTCACTTTGCTGCTCGTTCTTGACTTGTCCATCACTGCCCATGGCCAGTCAGTCATCAAGTCCTGGCAGGTGTTAGCCCATAAATCCTCTCAGCTGTTCCTGCCTCTCGGGAGGCTCTTCACTGGGCTCCCTGTCTCTGGGAGTAGAGACTTTTCTGGTTCACAATTTTACAGCTCTTTACCAAAGCTGTTCTTGCTCCGGTCACTTGCAGCATACAATTCAACTCTGCATCCTAATATGCAAGGGCCCCCCATATCCAGCATTTTCTCTGCTGCTTCTCTTCCTGTCTCCTACTGTCTGTTAGTATGTGTAACCTCACCAAACCACTCACTCAGCCCTGTAGGGACCCAAGAGCACAGTGCAAGGCTTTTACTGAAACAAAGACTCATGTAATTTTGATGCCAAAGTGGAAACTGTCCATTTATAATTTGAAGCTTTCTTTTCCTTATCCATTTTCAGATATAACTGGTAGAACACGACCAAGATGGACAGAAATCACCAAGGAAATGTTTGAGGAATTCAGAGAAGAAAATTTGCTTCTAAGCAATACAAATCAAGCCCTAACCCTTGAACTTAATGTAACGAAACAAGCCATGAAAAATCTGCAGTTGAAACTTAAGAAAATGGAAAAAGAAAATGGAAGGCTGAAAGAGACTACGAAAGCCTCATCGCAGGAAGGTTGGGACCACTATTCAGTTCTTTCATTAAAACAAGGGACAGTGCTTCACTCCTTTTTAAAATCTGTTTTCAGAGTTCGTATTTCTAAGTCGTACTAGTTGTTATTTACGTTGTTGATGTTTTATGTTATGATATTTAAGGGTTTTTTTCATTAGAGTTGTGAAGATGCTGAAATTTGGTTTCATGTGTTGTATTATGTATTTTTAAAGTTTTCATTTATTTTATAGTTGTTGAGAATACCTGTAGCAAACTATACAGCAGTTCTGCAGCGTCTGTACTTAACAATTCAGTGACATTCTGAAACCATTCTCATCATGCTTTTGAATTGTTCATCCCCCATTAATACACAAGGAGCTGTGATAGCGTAGTGGGTACGAGTCGGGTTGCTAACCTCAAGGTCAGCAATTCGAAATTACCAGCCGTTCTGCAAGAGAAAGATAAGGCTTTCTGCTCCCCTAAAGATTTCCAGCCTCGGAAACCCTATGCAGGGTCGCTGTGAGTCGGAACCGACTCCACGGCACACCACCACCACCATTAACATGCATTGACTGCCCCCTAAGGTTCCTATCTTATCTCTTAATTGCTGTTGTCAGTGTGATCCCAGAGAGATCGTTCTGTGGGTGTATAGTATGTTTTTAAATCAGGCAGTGTGTGTCTTTCCTTCCACATTGTTTTGGTTCCTTGGGACCTCTTGTCGTTTCATCTAACGTTGAGGCCCACCTTTTCTGTCTCTGTAAAGAAGGCTGTATTGAATGTAGGGTTGCTTTGGATAGTGTTAGCATCTTAACAACATTATGCCGTCCAATCAGTGAACACTGAACATCTTTCCATTGATTTTAAGTGTTTTAAAATCTCTGTCAGCAGTGTATAGTTGATATTGTACAAGTCCTTCACATCCCTGTGTATAGTAATTCTGAGACATTTTCTTGTCTTAGTTCCTGATTTCAAAGTCTTTCTCCATTTAGCATAATGTTGTCTGTTGGCTTTTTATATATGGCCTGACTCATATTGTGGAATTTCTCTTGTCTTCTAATCTTCTTTAGGGTTTTTATCAAGAAAGGATGCTCGATTTTATCAAATGCCTTGCCTGCATCCACAAAGATGAGCTTTTCCTTTGTTCTATCGATGTGCATTATATTGGTTGATTTTCTTATGTTGCAACATCCCTTCATTTCTGCAATTAAAGGTGTTTGCATCTATATTTGTAAGAAATATTGTCCTGTAGTTTTTTTGTTTCCCTTGTGGTGTCTTTGTCTGGCTTGGGTATCAGGGTAATGTTAGCTTTGTAGAATGAATTAGGAAATATTCATGCTTGTCTTTTGGGAAATTCTAAACAGCACTGGGGTCAATTATTTTTTAAGTGTTTGGTAGAATTTCCCAAGTGAAATTTTTTGTTGGGAGGTTATTGATCACTGATTTGATTTCTTCACTTGTTAGGGGTCTGTTGAGACTTTGCATTTTCTCTTGAGACACTTTGGGTAGGTTGTATTCTTCTAAGAATGTTTCCATTTCATTTAGGTTATCCGGTTTGTTCTCATACAAGTGCGTTCATAATATTCTGTTATAACTGTATTTCTCTTGGGTCACATGTTGTGTTGCCTCTTTTGTTTTTTAAAATTTTATTTGTATAAATAAATACGCAAAAAATTCTCTTTTTTTCTGTTTTCTATTTCATTTCTATTCTGCTCTGTTATTTCCTTTCTTCTAGTTGGTTTAGGCATAGTTGCTGTTGTCTTTCTGATTCTTGGAATTGTCGATTTGGACTGTTGATTTGACTTCTTTTGTGTTTTCTCCATGTCAGCATTTATTGCTGTAAGTCTCCTTCTGAGGACTGCCTTTGCTGTATTCCTAGTTTCTGGTATGTTGTGCTTTCATATTCATTTAACTCCAGGAAATCTGCGATTGGTGTTTTTATCTCTTTCTTGACCTGTTTAATAGTGCGTTTTTCAATTTCCCTATGTTTATATATTTTCCAGATTGTTTTATCTGTTACTGATCTTTAGCTTTGTTCTGTGTGGACAAAGAAAGTACTTGGTATGATTTCAGTTTTTAAAAATGGATCATGACTTGCTATAAGGCCTAGCATGCAGTCCATTGTGGAGAGTGATCCATTACACTGAAATAGAGTGTAGATTGTGCTGTTTTGGGGTAAAGAAGCTCTTTACATGTTACAAATTTTTGCGCTTTTTAGTATATGCAATATTTTCTCTGGTAGCATAGTGGTTACAAGTTGGGCCACTAACCTCAAGGTTAAAACTACCAGCTGTTCCCACAGGAAAAAGATGAAGCTTTCTGCTCCCATGAAGATTTACAGCCTCGGAAACCCTATACAGGGTCACTCTGAGTCAGAACCGACTCCATGGCACATAACCAAACAACCAGTATTTTCTCAGTTTGTTGATAATGTAACTAAATGTGTAAGATGATTTTCTTTTTTAACTTGTCATTTGTACCAAATACTTTTTAATGCTAAGATTATATAAATATTTACTCATAGTTTTTGTATATATTTTTCTGTTTGTGCAAAGCAGTATTGTGGCCTTATATAAGATATGTTTTTCTTCATATAGCCCTGAATATTTCTTGTCCTAGGAGTCTGTATTCCTAGATGTTTTGCATTCTCTGTACTATTACTTTGTGAGATCTATATTCTAATAGGGTATTGTTATATACAAAAGTACTCTAAGAAACTCTCCATTCTACATACATATGTGCCTTACATCTATAGGAGCGTAAGTCAAAAAGTTCTGCCACAAAATTATAGAAACTTTCATTAAACAAAATATCAAAATGTGAAGTGATTGTTTCTCGATAGTTCTGTCTAGTTCTATGTAATTCTGAAGGCAGTGTTTCCATCTCTATAATCCTTCCCCAGATAATTCTGTGCTGATGGGCAACAACTTAAAATGAAGAGAAACAGCTGTAAACATCCACTGAAAATTGGAACATGGAATGTACGGAGCATGAAT